GTCTTTTTTTTAATTGTCTTTGTTGTTTCATCATATTGAGTATCTGATCATTAATCCATTCTTCTTTTCTCCTTGCGGAAGTCTTTAGTATTTCTTTACCGGGTTCTAGTAGACAATATTTTAGTCGATCCCAGTACTCGTCAATATTCCATGCGTATCCTCCTTATGAAATGCCTATCGACAAGAAGCTTGAGGTAACAAGAGAGCTCTTTCCGGACGGCAGATGTCATGGTGTATGGAGGGATGAAGGAGCTGAGCGGGCTGTACCCTTTACCATGGATGAACTTATCGAGGCATTGGGTTCACTCAATACTCGTAGGTCCCCCGGACTGGATCAGATACCACCTGAGGCGGTAAAGGGTCTAGGACGGGTGGAGCCTGCGTGGCTTCTGGAACACATGAATACATTGCTGGAAGCACAAACCTTTCCTGAGCCTTGGAGGACATCGAGGTTAATACTGCTTCCCAAAGCTAGGGAAAAGTATCGCCCCATCTGTCTTCTTCCATGCATCAGTAAGCTCTATGAAAGGATGCTGCGAGTACGCATAGACGACATGATTGAGAGGTCAGGTGGTTTATCTCGGAGGCAATTTGGCTTTTGTAAAGGGAAAAGCACGATTGATGCAATCATGAGTGTACTCGAAACATTGCACAACAGAGGGAATGAACATCGCTGGGCGGCCCTGCTGTTGTTTGATGTTAAGAATGCATTCAATACGCTGCAGTGGAACGAGGTAATGAAGGCAATGGAGGAGAGAGAATGTCCTGGTTACCTGATGAATATTATGGCGGAGTATCTGTCCGAGAGAAGGATTATGGTGGAAAAGGGCACGATCGTGGACGTGACGGCCGGGGTACCCCAGGGATCTGTCTTGGGCCCGACGCTATGGAATCTGGCATATGACGGGGTTATGCACTGTGAATACGGAGAGGGTACAACCCCCTTCGCATTCGCGGATGACCTCGCTGTACTGGTAGTAGCCCGGGATGAGCCAGATCTCAAATACCGGGTTCGGAACGCAGGTGGCGTCGTAAAGAAATGGATGACGCAGCACGGACTAAAACTTGCGACAGAGAAAACCGAAGCCATTATTCTGAAGGGGACAAGGAACAGGCAAGGTGTTGAATTGAAATGTGCGGGAGTATGTCTAACACCCAAGAGACAAGTAAAGTATCTAGGAGTGACATTGCACCAGAATGGAAAATGGGGGGAACACGTTCGGGAGGTGGTCCGAAAGGCTGCGAATAGTGCGGCTGCGTTGGGGAGAGTGATGCCGAACATTGGAGGACCCAAATCCGAAAGGAGGAGGGCCTTACACGGTGTTGTACAGTCTATCGTTCTCTACGCAGCACCAGTCTGGAGCGAGGCGGTAGAGATAACGGCCTATAGGAGTCTTATGAAACGAGTAGACAGAACAAGTCTGTTGCGAGTGGCATGCGCCTACAGGACTGTGTCTGCGGCAGCCTTATGGACCATCACTGGATGTGTTCCGTTGCATGTTTTGGCGGTGGAAAGAAAAGAGCTTTATGAGAGAAGAGGCCCAAACCTTACTGTGGCTGAGAGAAGACAGGTAAGGGAAAGGTCAGTTGAAAGATGGCAAGAAGAATGGAACAATACGGAGGATGTGGCACAGTGGACGAAAATGCTGATCCCTAACATAAGAGTTTGGGTGGACTGTGACCACAGGCGATTGGATTATTTCCTGACGCAGGTGCTCACAGGACACGGGTGTTTTAGGGCCTACCTTTATAGGATCGGTAAGGCTGATACAGATGAATGCCTATATTGTGGATACTCGGACACTGTGACACATACGATGTTAGATTGCAGCAGATGGATAGTGGAAAGGAACAGAATGGAGAGAGAGACAGGTGTGAATTTTGTTACAGTGAGAGAAATGATTGAGAGAATGATTGAAAATAAATTAGGTTGGATTAACATACACAGTTATATCCGTGCAGTGATCAAAAAAAAGGAAGAGGAAGAAAGACAGCTGGACCAACGGCAAAGGTAGAGTGAATGATGCTGAAAGGTGAAGTTAGAACAGTGGGTCACACTTTTTGAGTTAGAATGCGTGAGTTTGACTGTGGGGAAGGAGGAAATGCCCTTCTGAGAATGATGCCGAACTAGGAGTGTGGATGTGTATGAATGGAGAATGAATGAATAAAGGTAGTGCTTCGGAAGTGATGCCGGCCTTACAGCGGCCATTCCGCTTCCGGATCGCTGGAAAATTGTGTTCAATTTGCTGCAGCTCACATGCAGTGCATGTTGGAGGCATTCTTTTACGTTAAGGTTCTTTAAGTTTTCGTATGTCTATTACATTCTTTGATATTTTATTATTCTTAAGTTCTTTTAATATTCTAAGGGTGAGTGTAATCTTGGCGATTATTACTTACTTATACTTAAAGGTTTAAAGCTTTTTGTAGAATTGCAAGTCATTTAGTAGTTTTTTAGAAAAAAAATCCAAAAAATCACTAATTAAATCATATCACTAATAAAATCACTAACTAACAAAAAATTGTAAATAACTCGAAAAGGAAGCATTTTACGAAGAGAGAAAAATTATTTATTTCGATCAGATGCGTTTCAAAAAATTGATTCCGAATTAATTCGGGAAAATTTTCGTTTTGTTATAAATTATTTGTTAATAAAAATTTCTGGCCCACTTGGAAAAATTAACAAAAAATGCGTTTGAACTTAAAAAATATATAAAATCGAATAAAAAAAGTTCGGTCCGATAGAAATGCCAAAAAATTAGTAGGTTTATGCTCTGCTTATGGGGGTAAAACGCTCGCCTAATGTGCAAGAAAATTTGAAACCTTTTGAATATTTTCCTTATTTTATTAATTTTATAAATGTACCATTTACACTGATGAACTTTATTATATTTTTTAAACTATGATATACAGCCAACCGCTGGGAACTTTTCCTTTATAAGTTAAAATTTGGAAATGGTTCATAAATGTTATTATTATGTTTAAATGTTATTATTATGTAACATTCATATTTTTACATGTTTAGTATATATGGTTTAATAGCCATTTATTAATAAATAATCTCTTTTTCCAGAATATTCAATTAGATAAAAATTTAGTTAATATGGTGGATAATACGAATTATACACAATTACCTGGTTTAACAGGAATGTACCAACCTCAATGTCCGTCTACATCACCGTCACCAACGGTAAATATATTATTTTTACGTCATAAATTAGGTATAGTTACAGTGGGTGATCAAATTATTATGATCAGTCACAAAAATTTAAGTTTTTCATATTTGTTCAGAAATTTTATAATAAAATTATATGCTGATATACGATTAAAGTATGCCAATATATTTTGTCACTGATAACCTTACTTTTTTGACGTTTACCGCTCTAGAACTGTCATTTGTGTCAAATTACGTGACAACATACACATTGTGGTGAATTTACGCTTGGAGTTTACAACTGAATTTGTATGTTTTTGTATTGTTTTTGAAAGATTAGTATCGTTTTATCTTTGTAGTATGTTTTATTAATTTATTAGTGGTGATTGTGAGTGAAAAAAGAATATCAGTTTTAATTTTAAAGACATTTTCAAAACATTTCGATTTTTGAGAAGAAAATCATAATGGGTAAGGCTAAAGACGTCCCTGTGTCTAAAATGGTGGAAATAAAGACACTTTTATTGAATACAAAGCTTTCCCAACGTCAGATAGCTCAACAATGCCAAGTAGCGCAAGCAACAGTGAGCAATATCAAGAAAAAAATTGAAACCAACAAACCCCTGATTCACCAGCGTGCCCAAAAATGTGGTCGAAAGCGTGTCACTACACCCAGAGACGAAAGAAAAATGAGGGATATATTCGTAAACAATAGAAAGAAGCCAAGAAGAATCCTCACGGGACTTATTCGTGAAGCTGGTATGCCAGTTTCTGACATGACAGTCCGCAGAAGGCTTACTGAGCAAGGTTTCAAATCATGTCGCCCTGCCAAAAAACCAAAGTTGACCATCGTAATGATGAAAAAGAGACTGGAATGGGCCAAAGAACACCAAAATTGGACAATTGAGGATTGGAATAAGGTAAATTACGTCACTACTAAAGTTTAAATCACTATAACCACTGTTTTTATCCTAAAAAAAATATCTTATAGTTTTTTTTTATTCACAGGTTTGTTTCTCCGATGAGTCTACAGTGGAGATACTCATGGATAAGTCGGCCTTCGTCCGAAGGCGAGTGGGTGAAAAATATCATAAGGATTGCATAGTGGAGCGAGAAAAGCATCCTCTCAAGATTATGGTATGGTCTGTGATCAGCAGTAAGGGCACAGGGAGGCTGTACATTGTAAATGGAATGATGAATCAACATCAGTATATTGAAGTTCTGGAAAAAAAACTCATGCCACAAATCAAAGACTGGTTTGGCGAATCGGAGGATTTTACCTTTATGCACGATTCAGCACCGTGCCATAAGGCAAAAAGAGTAACATCGTACCTGGAAAAAAAGAAAATTAAAGTACTGAAGTGGCCAGGTAATTCCCCAGACCTCAATCCGATCGAAAATCTATGGGAGCTTATGAAGAGGGGGGTTGCCCAGGAAATTGTCACAAATAAGCAGCAGTTAATTGAGAGACTCATTGCCACCTGGCACAGAAACGATAAAATAAAAGAAAACTGCCTGAGAAACATTCAAAGCATGCCAAGGAGGATCAAAGCTGTCATCGAAGCTAAAGGAGGTCACACAAAATATTAAAAAAAAATGTTATTTAAGGTCAAAGAAAAAAATATTTTAAAATTTTGTAAAAGAACGTGTTTATGATCTATTTTTATATTATATTCACATTATTAGACACTCATATGTAGTTTTATTCTTTATTAAACAGTAAAATATAAAGTTTTTTGAAGTGATCATAATAATTTGATCACCCACTGTACATTGTCAAGAATATATTTGAAATAAGGGCAGTTTTATCAGAGACATTTCTCAAATTTACTACAATCAAAACTCGTTTCAGTTACAGCAAGCTGGTCCTTATAGAAGTCCAAGACCAAGTCCGCAATCTTCACCTAGTCCCGGTAGGCATTCAGCGCCTTGTAGTCCTGGAGCTACTAGTCCGTTACCGAATGAATACCACATACTCAATCAACAAACTTCACAATTTCAACAACATTTCGAACAGTTATCGATGGTAAGTAGTAGTTTTTGTCGCATATTGATTGGTAAATGAATTTAAATGTGCCACTGGAGTCGTATACATAAAGCACTACATTAAATTAGAATTGCATTTAAAAACTATAATCGTTTTATTTCTGGTCATTTTTATTTAGTTTGGCTTCCTTTTTCAACACAAACTTCCAAAAACGTAACCAGTTTGAGCATAGAGAGCGCATAATACATTTAGAAGAATCTGTTTGCACAAAATGTGGGTTCTAGAAAATAAATTCATAGACAAAACAATTACAAGAGGCAAATCTAAATAGATATGCTACTCTCAGAAAACTAAACTTAAGGATACTATTTAAATTTTAACATGCTAGTGACAAGAAGACTGAGCAGATAAAAACACAAATAGTTTACAGAATGGCTGCGATGGCGAAAAAGGAACGATAGAATGAAGAGCAATATATTTTTGAGGTCGCACAATCAGTAATAGTCCAGTCGTTAGAGATTTGATCTCTAAAAACGAGACGAATACGCTGAATTTTGTTGAGAATGTCAATTTTGGGACCCTAAAAAAGATACAATAAAGTTTGCCATCACTACCCCAGGTCTTATAGCTCAGATAATTTGGAACAAAAATGTTTTTTAGTACTTTTTCTTTAGAAAGCACCGTTATCATAGAAATAACGGTTGAAGCGACCGACGATTTTGAATGTCAGAAAAATTCAGCTTCTTATGATTTTTAAAGGTTCAATGGCATTTTCGTTCAACGGAAATTATAATTCAATAGATATATTTTTGTTATTATTTACCAGTTTTAATTTTAAATAATTTAACAATTTCAGAATAAAGAAAGACATAAAATGATAATGATAACTTTACTGCAGTGTTCTATGTATTTGAAAATACTTTTACTCTAACCAGCACACATTTTGGATGCAATATGTTGCCATAATGCTAATAATATTAGTTGGTAATACTGAAAAGTTTTGAACACATGTCTAACGTAATTTAAATAAATTTGTTACAAAACTTTTATAAAAAAATGTTTATGTTACTGCCCATGAGAAAACAAATAAATAGAAATGTAATTGTGGTGGTATTAATAATTTTAAAACTCAATTATGTGACTATCGCACTTACGTTGTGTAGTATTTCTATTGTTTAACTTGTTTTATATTAGCTACAAAGCCAATTCTTTTGGTAAAATTAATTATATTCTTTGACGATATTATACTACTTAGTCAATTTACTTAGTTAGTCAATTATATGCCTGAGGTGCATATACAAATTATGTAGTAGACCTGATAACATTCTGCTGTGTTTACTATTATTTAAGAAAAATTTACCAGTTTCATATACCAACATGAATGCAAATTTAAGCAGACGTTTAAAAGTACCCAAATAAAGGTAATGAAGTTAACAAGTGGGTATTGCTCATTAGTTTACATCTTACATCCAAGATTTTTCTTAATCTTTTCTTCCTTTAGATACATAATTCACGTTTCTCTGACATACATCAATGTGGGTCTTATTAGTGTCTAGTATTGACACATTTTTTGCTTTTAGTATTGAATTTGCTGTGGCATTTCAGGTGGAATTGATTGGGAATGATGAAAAGATCCCTAGTGACTGGAAAACAGGGATTATATGCACAATCTATAAAAAAGGGGATAAACTAAAATGCGAAAATTATCGCGGCGTAACCCTCTTGTGCACAGCGTAAAGTTTTCACTTATATACTAAATAAACGACTCCAACAACTAACCGAAAATATTGTCGGGGAATATCAAACCGGTTTCCGACAAGGAAGATCTACAACTGATCAGCTATTCACCGTGAAAAAAATTCTAAACAAATCGTGGGAATTCGACATTGACGTCTACACTATATTCATAAATTTCCACTCACCCATGTGTTCCACTCCAAAAACACACACTGGAGATCAAAATCAGGGCCTACAAGACTATTATCAGACCAATAGTATGTTAGGGATGCGAGACATGGGCGATGACAGTAGACACTAAACGAAAGTTGGAAATCTTCGAACGAAAAGTCCTAAGAAAGATATTCGGACCTATTAACGAAACCGAGTACGGAGATCCAGGTAAAACCATGAAGTCTACCAACTTTTTAAAGGAGGCACCGATCTCAGAATTTTAACCACTTATTTTAACTACTCAGTTTTAATTTTAACCACTCAGTTTTTTAACCACTTATAAGAGGAGAGATTCCAAATTAGCTGGCAATTTTTGGATCCAGAACGACCATTCTCATCCCAGCATCCTCACTTTTGTATTTACGCTTCTACAGTACTAAACAATGGTATACATAAAACAGAGTTTACATGTAACTGTCCTGTTTTCACAGGATAATGTTTCTTCTAGTTAACTTTGACCGTTTATAAAAGCCAGAAGATTGTACAATAGCGTTTTGATTCATTTTGTCATAATAAATAGAGTTCTAATTAGTTGAGGACTATTTCCGATATAAACAGAAACAACAGATGCTCATAAATATTTTCATTATAAAGTCACTATCTAAAACCGACGTCAGATGATATCATTAATAGGAAAAGACGAAAATGAAATCACAAGTAGAGAAAACATACTGACACGAATAGAAGAATTTTACACAGAACTTTACAGATCACATCAACAAGATGATGAGATGAGACCAGCACGGAAATTAATAAAAAAATGTTGGATCAGAAATAATGCCAAAAGTAACAATTTCAGAGGTAACTACAGCATTGGAAAATATGAAGAGAAATAAAGCTGCAGGAGAAGATAGTATTACCACAGATATGATATTAGAAGGAGGTAAGGAACTAATTGCAATTGTAACTAAGCTTGTGGACAGTTGTTTACATCAGGGCAAAGTCCCTAAGAGCTGGAACAACTCTAAAGTAATCTTATTGCACAAGAAAGGTGATAGTCGAAAATTGGAAAACTACAGACCCATCAGCCTACTGTCACACCTGTTTAAAATACTCACCAAAGTCATAACTACTCGACTAACAAGGAAATTAGACGAATACCAACCATATGAACAGGCAGGTTTTAGAAAAGGCTATTCAACTTCCGATCACCTGTTAACCACAAAAATATTAATAGAAAAATGTAACGAATACAAGTTTCCAGTTTTCCTTGCATTTGTAGACTACGAAAAAGCTTTCGATACCATAGAACACACGGCCGTAATAAACGCAATGCAAAATTGTAGAATAGACAGCAGATATATTAACTTAATAAAAGAAACTATGAACCAAGCTACAGCTACATACTACCTAAATGAAAATGAACACACGAACCCTGTACCATTAAACAGGGGAGTCAAACAGGGAGATACTTTATCACCCAAACTGTTCACCTTAGTTTTGGAGGACGTTTTTAAAAACCTAAATTGGAAATATAAGGGAATAAACATCAATGGCCGCTACCTCAGTAATCTACGATTTGCAGATGACATAATCCTGATAGCTACTGACCTACAAGAAATGCAAACCATGCTTGTAGAACTTCATACCGAATCTTCTAAAATAGGACTGAAAATGAATTTAAACAAAACAAAAGTCATGCACTCCGAAGACACCGTGACAATAATAAACGATAAAGTTATAGAAAAAGTTGAAGAATATATATACTTGGGACAAAAAATAATCCTAAATAGGGAAATTCAGACTGAAGAAATAAAAAGAAGAAGAAAGTTAGCTTGGGCAGCATTCGGTAAACTGAACTATATACTCAGAAATCAACAAATTCAATTACATCTTAGATCTAAAGTTTTTGATGCATGCATTATTCCGATATTAACTTATGCGGCACAAACATGGACAATCACAAAAAAGAATATGAATATACTTAGAGTCACTCAACACGCGATGGAAAGAGCACTGCTAGGTATATCACTTAAGGACAAGAAAACAAACACATGGATAAGACAGAAAACCAAAGTCACCGATGTGGTGCAAAAAGCATTAAAGCTGAAATGGGAATACGCTGGACATGTAGCTAGGAGCGATCTAAACAAATGGCACAGATCAATTTTAACCTGGAGACCATACCAACACAAAAGACCCAGAGGCAGACCTCCTATGAGATGGACAGATGATCTGAAAAGGACTGCCGGGAAAAATTGGCTACAAGTAGCGTACAATAAAAAACAATGGAAAGGAAGACTTGAAGAGGCTTATGTTCAGATGTGGACGTGAATGGCTAGACGAAGAAGAAGAAGAAGATCTAAAACCTATGCAACTGAATTTTCAGATCTTAAAACCGTTTGGATTCGTTAATACGTAGAATAGGCCACACCGTAAAAAAATCGGTATTAATATCTATTTTAAAGCAATTTGCTTAAAATGATTTCTGAATTTAATAAATTACCACATAAACGAGAAACCAGCGCCTTGGGACAAAAATGCTGGTGATGAGTTTACCTATCTGCGGTGATGAGTTTACCTATCTCCAAAGGATGCCGGTGATCAGTTTACTTTATCTCGGAGAGTCTAATAATTTTATGGGGGGCTATATAGTGATGAATTCGTACACGCCCACTTTAACGGGAGTTCCAATACACGGTCACTTATTTCTGGAGGTCAACTCTGGGCTGTATAAACCTTTTGCTGGGATAACAGCGGCAAACATCTTGTTCATCTTTCTTCAGTTGTATATTTATGAATATAAGATAGGAACAGTGAGAACGAGTTCTGTTTAAATACAAGTGAACCTGGACAAGGTATAAAATCAAGTGTAAAATATATACTGTGTATTTTGAACGGGAAAGTTGTTTTTTTTTACCTAGAATTGAACACATTTTCAATTGTTATTTGAAAACAGAAAACAGTTTTCTCCGAAAGTAAATGTGTAATATGTTATTTAAATTATGTTAGACAGCTAATTTTCAGTAAGCTTTAGATATTGAAATTATTAGGTTGAACATTTATTTCATCGACATTATATAAAAATACAATTATCCCGTTGTATTTAGACATTTCAACAAGTATGGCGATTTGTATTTTTGGATAAT